GTTTTTGTTTTTGTTTTTGGTTTTGTTTTGTTTTGTTTTGTTTTGTTTTGTTTTTTTTCATGCCATTGCTGAAGATGTTTATAAAAATTCATCCCCACATGGAAAACTGGGGCACTCCATGGGGAATCACAGCCCTGGCACCCCCATCCTGCTCCACACTAAGGCAGGACTGAGATGTAGATGTAAACACGGAAGGGATGAGAGCACCAGGGACAGGCTTGGCCAGAAAAAAATGAGAGACATTTAGAATCACAGAATCACTGAATTATTTAGGTGGGAAAAGAGGTCCCAGAGCACTGAGTCCAACCTGTGACCAATCCTCACCTTGTCACCAGCCCAGAGCTCTGAGTGCCACATCCAGTCATTCCAGGGACACCTCCAGGGATGGAAACACCACCACCTCCCTGGGCAGCCCCTTCCAACTCCTGACCACCCTTTCCATGAAGAAATTCTTCCTGGTATCTAAATGTTAATAGATTCCTCCATCACTTCTCCAGCAGCCACTTCATTGATTGATTCAAGTACTGAGGGAATAAAGAGGCTAAAGTTCTTTTTTTTGGCGTGGAATGAGCCACCCTCCACAAACAGAACCTACAGGTTGCCCAAGAGGGTGTGGAATCTCTTTCACTGGAGATACTCTAGAACTGTCTGGACAAAATCCTGTGCAATGTCTTCTAGGCTGAGCCTGCTTGTGCAGGGAGGTTGGCCCAAATGACCTCCAGTGGTGCTTTCCAACCTTGTCCATTCTGTTTTTCTGTGATCTTCATCCTTAGGAAGGTTCTGCAGATCAAAACCAACTTTTCTTTGGTCACTCACAGGGAGATGTGTCCTTGTCCTCAACTTGGACACTGAGACTTGAGCCAACAGGATGGAAATGAAATGAAAATGAAACTTCATCTTCCAAAACAGTCATGGGATCATTCTAGAAGGAAGCTTGGTGACACAAGAGTGACACTTATACAGACAGAAAAACAAAAACTAAACCAACCTGCTGCCTGACAAAGCATACTTCAAGTTTTTACAGAAAAACATTTCTACCAGACACGAAAAGTCCAGAGTTGAACCCAATCTGTCACTGTGTGAAGGAATCCCAGCTTCAGGTTTCACATCCTCCTCTGGTCAAGCTACTTCTATGTCAATATTCAGAGTAAACTACTTTATGTAAAAGACTTCAATAGGGCTGATCACAATTCCCTAAGAACTGGGTTTTCACTGGAAAATGAAGTTATATAGAAAAGAGCATTTGTTACAGGAATTTGCAGTAATATGGAGTATTTTAAGCCTTTCTCCCTCACATTTCCCATTTTGATACAGCCTCAAAGATTTCCTTGCCTATGCATGACAGAGTATTCTAACTGGAAACGTTTGGAGAGACTCAAGATTATGAAATAATCTTCATTATTAAGTAGTTTATGACAACTTTCCTTGAATGGGAGACATCAAGTTCTACTCTCTGTTGAAGTGTCCGTTTGATTAAACCCCATCACCAGGTTCTTCATAGAATAACCAAATAATTTTTTTTGAAAAGAGACCTTGAAGATCCTCTTGTCCAAACGCCCCTGTCATGAGCAGGAACACCTTCCCTAGATTGTGACTCAAATCTCTCCTGCTTTTAAAAAAGGCTTTCAGAAGAGTTTGGACCTTTGAAAAATGAGAATAATTGTGGACTCAGCATTTTTTATGAAATATAAAACTGTTCCTTTTGCCTGCAGCAAAAATACTTCTGATGGGGAATCTACAAGAATAATGCTTCCTACCAGATATCCTTTCAAGAGAGTGCCAGTTGTGCCAACAACAGCATGTTAAAAACCATACTATTTGGGGCTTTTTCATCGGTGGAAGATTTGCAAAAGGAAATACCCAAGATTCTTTCCATTCTGAGAAGTCAAAGGGACAGAAAATCACATTATGAAGACAGAGCCAAGGACATTTGACTTAATGATCTTGGAGGTCTTTTCCAGCCTCGATGATCCTGTGACATTGACAGCAGTGAGGCAGCGACATCTTGAGGAAAATCCCTGCTCACTCAACATTTGGTGGCACTCCAGGAGTTACGGGATGAGGGATCTTAGGTTCTTGTGTTTCTTGTTGATCCATTTTCCTATCTCGGTATGTCTCCCGTTTATATATTTTTAAATTCACCTTGAAAGAGCCCTTCAAGGAGTTCAACTACCTTTGATGAATTATAATTCATATAAGGTCATTCCTCCAGATTCAAGCTTTTTTTCCAGTCCTCCATCCCCTCACCATGGGGAATCAAGAAAAGACTAAGCAGAGAGGTAAAGATCCTGATGGCTCAGTTTGGGCTCTCCACAGCCAGGTGTTTCAACAGAATCAACAAAAAACCCTCACTGGCATAGTGAAGCAAGTTCAGTGAGAGCCATCAGGGTGGTGGAGGAGTTGAATATGGAAGATACAAGGAGAGATGGGGAGAAATTTGGGATTATTCAACCTAAGGAAGCGCATACAAAGGGATCTTATCGCCCCTAACAGATCCTTGCCCTTCCAAAGGGATTTTGGGACCAGAAGAACTGATACCCAGACATGAAGGCACATCTGGGGTGCCCACTATTCCTGTCAGCTTTGCAAACTGGATAAGTGGAAGCTGCAGTTACACTGTGCAGAAGTAACTTTGACGATACTTTGAGCACTCATCCAGCAAGGAAACACCACTCTGCCACGGCTCATCCTGTGCCCTTCAGCAGGGATGTGGGGTACAGAGCTACAGAGTGGGAGGACAAAAGGAGATGTCCAGGAGATGGGCATCTCACACACCCACAGAGGGGGCATCCTGACCCCGGTGTGATTTGAACACACAGCCTTCTGATCTGGAGTCAGACGCGCTACCATTGCGCCACGAGGTCAGGGATGGAGCACATTCTGCTTGAATATCATCCTGGAATTTGGGGCATTCTTTGAGGGAATGGGAATTTTGCTTCACCTGGCAGGAGTGGCACCATCTTTGCTTTCCTTTCTAAATAAAGAGGCTCCAAATGAGATACTTCAGAGGAAGAAGGCCAAAAATGCAGAGCCTCCCTCAGAAAAAATAGACTCCTGGATGTGGTGTCTCCAGAGGAACAGAGAAATGGTGGCCCAGCATCTCCTCTGGGGACGGAGGCCCCATTCTCCTGGAAGATTAATGGATATCAAACCCTCGATTCACAGGTTATAACCAAAGTGCAGGGCAAAGCAGGGAGGTGTTCTGAGTGTCTGCTGCTCTTTGCCTCATGAGGAAGCTGAAGGGGAGTGAAGGCTTTCTCTGAAAAGTGGAAAAAGCTTCACAACTGCAGGCTCAGTCACTCCTGGAGGCCTGGACTTACCTTCATGTGATATTTCCCTGAAAGTGTGGGGTGGTGGAGTCAGTCCAGGGGATTCCTGGAGTGTTTAAGGACAATGATTCAGTGTAAGATGATGGAAATAGAAAGAGGTTTCTGATGGGCACCATAAGGAGTTTTTTTCAAGAAAAGAGTAAATAAGAAGAGTCTGGTCCATCCCACCTCAGAGGCCAGGTGAAGATTATGAAAGAAATGTTCCTGAAATGCAGGAAGAATATGATGGTGACTGGAGACAGGGATCATGGAGTTCCCAAGGGCAGAATACTCTGGGATGATACAATTTCTTCCTCAATGGCCAAATGGACACTAAGGAACATCATTTATCTTTGGTTTCACCTCTGACAAGGTCTCCCAGACGTGTCCCTGCAGCAGGACACACACACAGAGCAGCTGAGCTCAATCCAAAGGCAAAGCAAAGGCCCAGCACCATGCACTGAAGGGTTTGGGGTCAGGGCTTGGTGCTCCAGGGGACCCTTCACTACTGGGTGCTGAACTGGCTGTGCGTTGGTGCCTGTGCTGGCAGCAGAGGCTGCTCCACAGAAGGAAGGACACGGCCAGCCTGGCAGGGACATGGGGGTGCCCAGGGGACAGGGCCAGTGGCGCAATGGACAACGCGCCTGACTACGGATCAGGAGATTGCAGGTTCGACTCCTGCCTGGCTCAACACTTTTAGCCCACACACATTCCTCCTGCTCCCTTTGTCAGCACCTTCCTTCTCCTGACCATCACCCATCTTGCCTCAACCTCCTCATCTCCTGTCCCACACTCCAAAATGGGCAGGGCTGGGGCCCACACCAGAGCCAGGGCATCTCCTCAAATCTCACAGCTGAGTGCAGGTACCTCCAAACTGCTGTTCCACCGCCAGGACAGAGCCAGCACTCCCAGAGTGTTCTAGCACCTTGTGTGCCCTCATCCCCAGCCTCCTCCAAGGCTCACACTGGTCTTGCTGTCCTTTGTCAGTGCCTTGCCAAGTTCTGCTCTGGAAGCAGTGCCCTGCTCACAGCCTTGATGTCACAATGCTGTGATGGTGATGATGGAGAGATAGGGAAAAAAGCCTGGAAGGTTAAGGACCTCAGGAAAACAGCTGTGCCTTGTCACCTCCGCCACCAGCTTCAGGGTGACCCAGGCAGGACTTAAACCTGCAGTCTCCTGATCCATAGTCAGGCATGTTCATAGTCCACTGCGCAACTGGCCCCAGCCTCTGATCCCACCTGCTGTCCTCACTTCAGGACCACCTGGATTTATTGGTGATTAAAGGGATATGGCAGGATCTCACCTTGCTCCCTCCTGTCCCTTTCATGTCAGCTTTGCCCTCCTCACCTGTGTTCTACCACCCAGGAGAGGAGATGTCTGTACCAAGCTCCAGGCTCAGCTCAGCTACTCTGGAGGTTGAAGGGCATCTTGCCTTCCTCATGGAATGTGTAGTTAAACTTCCCAGCCCATACAGAACTCTCTGGAGCTGTGATGCCCAGTGGATGGGAAAGAATAGCCCAAGGCCACCTCCACTTGCTCCAGTCTGGTAACAAAGGGGTGGACAGGTGGGCTGTAGCAAGGTCTTGCTTGATGGACAATTGGTCTGGGCCACCCTTCACATGGACACCTTCGACATTCCTGACCCAAGTCACAGACACAGCGAAGGTACAAAACAGTGATGACAGGACCATGGGTGTGCAAATGTGGAATGAAGAAACAAAAGAACATAGAAACATGATTTTTACATCAAATAACAGTGACTCGTGTCGGAAATTTAATGTGGTGGTCTCTAGTCCAGACTTCTGCTTAATTTATGACATACAGATCAGTACTGCCTGTTCAAACTCTAAATATCACCAAGGATGAAAATGCCACAGCCTCTCTGGATTCCTCTCTTAGTGATTTACCATCTCACAGAGATTTTTTTTTGCCACTGTATCCAGGCCAAGCCTCCCCTAATGCAAGGGAAGTTTTGCTGTGCAGGAAGCCCTCTGTCTTGGGTTGCAATACAGGATGTGACCCAAAATCTGTATTTTATCACTAACTGTTGAAACCAGGTGGGACAGTGATCCTTATCTCCGTGGGAGATATCCTCTGCTAATGGTCCATCTGTTAAAAACGGGTGGGGCAGTGTTCTTTATCTTTTCTGCAACCCATCCTTCCTCTGGGAGATATCTTCTGTTAATGGTCCATTGAGTGTCACTGCATGACTGATAAAATTCCATCATCCCATGGGGAGATGCTCCAGCCAGGGGGAGGAGCCAAGCCTTTCCTACCTAGATAAAAACTGAGTTTTGGAACACCAAAGCAGCCTTTTTCACTGGATCCCAGAGGAAAACTGGACCTTCCACATCATCACTGGGAGACTGCACCTTGTCCAGGAGCACTGCTCCAACTGAGCCACATCTGTCACTGCAGGAGGATGCAGCCACCATGGAATGGCACTGCTGCCAACACCCTGCCTGACTGACAGGTTGTACTCTGACTGTGTCGGTGTTTCGGTTTGTTTCTTTGCAATATTGCCTTTCTATTTCAATTTCCCTAGTAAAGAACTGTCATTCCTATTCCCATATTTTAGCCTGAGAGCCCCTTAATTTCAAAATTATAATAATTTGGAGGGAAACAGTTTACATTTTCCATTTCAAGAGAGCCTCCTGCCTTTCCTAGCAGACACCTGTCTTTCAAACCAAGACACCCACCAAGAAAGGACAACAGCAGAGAGAGGCAGAGCAGCGTGGAGAAAGATGTCCCCTGTCACCATCAATTTAACAGCCAGGCTGTGGGCAGGAAAATGCGAGCCAGGCAGGAGTTGAACCTGCAATCTCCTGATCCGTAGTCAGGCGCGTTGTCCATTGCGCCACTGGCCCTCATGGAGCTCTGGGTGCTTCCCACCAATGGATGGGCTTTGTGACAGAATTAATTATGTACAGAAAAAATAGATTTGAGGAGATCCCTGGGAAGCAGGTGATCTAATCCATGCTCAGAGCACAACAGTCGTTGATGACAGGTTGTAACCAAGTTTTTCATAACTCCAAGGATGGAAACTCCAAAGTTTCTCTGGAGATTTGTCCTACTCTGAGACCATCACTGTCACATGCAGAACTTGGTAAGGCACTGACAAAGGACAGCAAGACCAGTGTGAACCTTGGAGGAGGCTGGGGATGAGGGCACACAAGGTGCTAGAACACTCTGGGAGTGCTGGCTCTGTCCTGGCGGTGGAACAGCAGTTCAGGAGGTACCTGCACTCAGCTGTGAGATTTGAGGAGGTGCCCTGGCTCTGGTGTGGGCCCCAGCCCTGCCCATTTTGGAGTGTGGGACAGGAGATGAGGAGGTTGAGGCAGGATGGATGATGGTCAGGAGAAGGAAGGTGCTGACAAAGGGAGCAGGAGGAATGTGTGTGGGCTAAAAGTGTTGAGCCAGGCAGGAGTCGAACCTGCAATCTCCTGATCCGTAGTCAGGCGCGTTGTCCATTGCGCCACTGGCCCTGTCCCCTGGGCACCCCCATGTCCCTGCCAGGCTGGCCGTGTCCTTCCTTCTGTGGAGCAGCCTCTGCTGCCAGCACAGGCACCAACGCACAGCCAGTTCAGCACCCAGTAGTGAAGGGTCCCCTGGAGCACCAAGCCCTGACCCCAAACCCTTCAGTGCATGGTGCTGGGCCTTTGCTTTGCCTTTGGATTGAGCTCAGCTGCTCTGTGTGTGTGTCCTGCTGCAGGGACACGTCTGGGACTAAAGTCAAGAGAAATTATGTTCCTCGGTGTTCACCTGACTACCAAAGAAATCATCTTTTCAAAGAAATCTATTCTTCTGGTCAAGGTTTGTTTGCCTTTGGTAAATCCTTGGCCTTCCACTCATTTTCACATCTTTCCTCCTTTTGGGCATGGTTTTCTGAAGGATTGTTTCCATAGTGTTCAGGCAGACTCAGAGCTGTGACTGCCAGATTAGAGTTTTCAAGATGGTCTATCTTAGTATTCTTGAAAAAAACTTTCCATGTTGTTCAGCAGAAACTTGTCTCTGTTTCCATCATCCTACATGGATTAATTGCTCTTGATTCCTCTCCCCCTGGGCTGACCACACCACCCCATGCCAGGCAAGCATTTCCAGGTCCTCCAGAAGTGACTGAGCCTATAGTTAAAAAAATTTCCTGCCTTTTCCCGAGGAAGACATTACATCCTTCTTGAAGTAAATTATGGCAGACACCCACCATGTTGGAATCCTGAAGCCTGGGAGTTTTGAACTTTTTTTGTTTTCTGTCACTGACTCCCAGGAGAACACTGCTTTTGAATTGAGGCCTTGGAGAAGACTTCCAAATTTGAGTGATGGAGTTAAAATCACTGGTGTGTAGATAGAATAGAAGTGTGTGATTTCACACGGTGAAGAGTTTTGAATTTGGGGTTTTAGAATATAATAATAGGTATGGTACAAGATGGATGTTCTTGGGCATTGTCTTTTCTTCCTTCTGTTCCTTCCTCTTCATGATTTCAGGTAGTAGTTTTTGGTTGGACAGGAGGTTCTGCAATGTGGGTCATGGGTCGGGTCAAAAGTATAAATAATATAAATGTTAGCTTTTAATTGGATAGTTAGGCTTTAAAAGACCTTGTAACTTGCTAGGTTCACCTATTTTCTCTCTTTTGGCTTGATAGCTAGAAGTGCTGAAGAACTCTCTGCACTTTAGATAAGATTTAATAAACAACCAAGTCAGAACAAGAAATCCATCTCTCGAGCATTCAATCATGACTCTGAGTGAAGGCAAAAAAACCAAAACCAACCACTGACACCACCACAACACATCCTGACCCATGTTTTCCATCCAGCACAGCTCCCTTCTCAAAGGAGCGCTCTGGGCATCGTGTTCCCCATATCCTGAGATTTGTTCCCCATATCCTAGTCCATGCCCCCCCACCCTGAGCCACAGAACAGCCCCCCAGAAAAGCAGAGGGGTGCCAGTGGTGCCCCAGACTGACCCCGGTGTGATTTGAACACACAACCTTCTGATCTGGAGTCAGACGCGCTACCCTTGCGCCACGAGGTCGGGGTGGAGGGGTCCAGCGGCTCAGGAGCGTCCCCTGGGAATGTCCTTTCCATGGGGACCACCCTGGGGTGTCCCTGCACCCCAGGAGCAGGGCTGTGGCTGTGGAGGGGCAGGGTCTGGCTGCAGAGACCAGCCCAGGCTGCAGGATGAAGGTGCAGGGTGGGAGGAGGGGGTGAGGGTCAGTGAGGGCAGGAACCAGACTCAGGGATGCTCCAAGGGAGGGTGATGGCTCAGGGGGTGACACAGGACAGTCCAAGGTGGGTTTTGGCTGTGGAGCCAGGAATGGTTTTGGTAGAGTAGGGCACCCATGGGTGCTCAGGCCAGTCACAGCTGCTGATGTCACAGCTCCTGATATCACAGATCCTGATGTCCTGTGCTGGCTGGGAGTGACACCTGGACCTCCTTCAAGGAGGGCAGGATGTCCCACCAGTGCAGGCAAGGTCCAGCACCAGCTCCAGCTGCCCAATCCTTTCCTCATGGGTGCTTAGGGCAAGGCTGCCGTGGACAACACATCAGTAAGGTGGTGAAACCTTCCTTACCCCTCTCCAACTCCATTCCCAGCTTCATTCCCACCCCATGGAGATGTGCTGGAGACAGTCTGCTGGGTACAGGGGTGTCTGGAGAGGACATATATATAAATATATAAATATATAAATAAAAATATATAAATACAGGCAGTACTGCCTGTACTGTGGCCAGCAGTGCAATGGGCAAAGCATCAGGAAACTCCTCCCTGGCTCAACCTAATCCTGTGATCTCAGTGTCACCACAGTTAAAGAGATTTTTAAATTTGTAGAAATGTGACAAAATTATATGAAGTTAGAAAGTATTTATAGTTAAACACTTACTCTGAATGTCACTCCCTCCAAAAATTCGATCCCTCTGTAAAATTTGATGTCTGAAACCAAATTCCATCCCTGTTCTCCACACACATTAACAATCACCACACATTTAATCTGTGAATTAACAGTGCTGAGGATGGAGCAAAGAAGCATTTCCTCCTGTTTTTACCTTCCCACCTGAGCAAATCCTGCACCACGAGGTCCCTTCCTGCTCCAGCACCTTTTCCCACAAGAGGGAGCTCCATGAGCTGTAAATCAGGCTGGCGATTAATTTTGTTCAGTAAAGGATCCTCCATCCCAAGGCCAGACTGGAAATTCAGCTTGTTTCCTTCCTGGAAATACAGGGTTTTTATCCTCCACAGCCCAAAGTTTTTGTCTAATAAATCCCAATGGTTTCTATTAGAACTTTTTCCCACACATTTTTCCCTGCTGACCACCCCCAGTGGCACCTCTCCTCATCCATCCCATTCTATCTCTTTTCCTTATATTTTTGTAAATAAAGTCAGGTTTTCAGCCAGTTCCAGGACCACTTCACCCCAGCTGCAGTAAAATCCTGCTGATTTACATTGCCATAACGCAAATCTGGTTAAGTGTTTTGCAAAAGCAGATGTTTCCCAGAAATTTTACCTCCCAGCTTCCCTTCTGAATTATTTTCAGAGCTGTCCCATGACTGAAAACTTCAAAATGAAAGAGAAGTCTTCCCTTCTCATAAAAACCTTTTACTGAAAGGGATGTAAGTCCCAGGCCAGATCAGCAAAACCCTCCAGGGATGGAGACTTAACCACTGCCCTGGGCAGCTGTACCAGGGCTGGACAGAGCTTTCTGTCAAGGAAATGTCCAAATATCCAATCTAAACCTCCTCTGGTGCAATTTGAGGTGATTCCTCTTGCTCTGTCACTTGTTAATTGGGAGAAGATCCCAATCTCCCCCATCTGTCCCCTCCTGGCAGGGAGTTGTGCAGAGCCATCAGGTCCCCCCTGAGCCTCCTTTTCTCCAGGCTGAGCCCCTTCCCCAGCTCCCTCAGCAGTTTCTCACAAGAGATCCTTAGGAAAGGGGCAGAACTTCCACTCTGTGTAAACATTTCTTCTGTGATCCATATAAAACAATCTCTGACCTGGAATAACCTGGGAAAAGTAACCTGGGAAAGGAGGGGAAGAAAAAACAGCAAAGTGCAGAGGCATCAAGGCAGACTGAGATGGTACTTGAATTTCAAAGAGTTGGGTTTTTTGGGGGATAATTTCTGATCCTAATTTGAAGGGGACTGTGATTGTGTAAGCCCTTGAGGTCTGACAGTGAAGACATTCCAGAAATGATGGAGGAGGATTTTGAATGTGAGATTACTGGCCAGTCATTCCTCTTCCACCAGACTGCTAACACACTTGAGGTTTTGAATTTGTGCTTCACCTCCCGTGTAAATAAAATTTTAAAAGGCAAACATTTCCAGTCCATCACTACAGAACAGGACCATATTTCTCAGATTTAAAAAATAATTGTAGGGAAAGCTGAGTGTCTGCTCCAGTCTGACAAAGCACAAGGACAGATCCTGTCTGAGAGCTGAGATGAATATCTCAAGTAGGTTCCCCTTGGATTCAGTGGGAATTTGAGCCAACTGGAGGGTTCTTGTAGCAGTTTTTGCTTCATTCCTGTCCCTGGAGTCCCTGGAAATGGGCACAAACACCTCTCCTTGGCACCTGCAAATTTGCAATGGAAAGCAAACAAAGAGAGCAGGGAGGCAGACAGAGAACAATGCCCATGACTGAGGGAGAGGTTTGTATTGTTGGTATCCAGGCTGCTGGGTCAGAACAACATCAATAAATATCTTGTATAGAAAGAGGCTGAAGTGAATGGCTGAGGGAGAGCCTGAGCTGTCAGCTGCCATTTCCATGTCTGTCGATGTAATTCAAACTCTGTGCAGAAAAATGCTGAGGAAAAACTCATGAATCTCACTTGCATTGTGCTCTTTGTGCACCTGCACAGTTGAAGGTGCTGCTGGTGA